GAGGATAAGGACGACTGTGTCAATCCATTTGGTACTGTTTGTATGCTCTTTATGAAATAAGCGTCATTTTAGCGTCTGACGAGGAACCTTCTATTAGCAGGTATATATATATATTTACATGCACGAAGAATCGGCAAAAGATTTTCACAGCATCCCGCTGGTATTAAGAGGAGTATGATTCTTAAAAATTAGTATACGTTATTTAAAGCCGTAGAGAAATTAATTGTGGGCTGTGCTTAATATTTTTTTTTTTTCGAGGTTAGAATCGTCAGGTTTTCCTGTCTATGAATTTACGTACGGATTTATTCTATACGAGGTACGGATACGTGTCGCGCGTTTACTGGGTTATTATTACACTGGTTTATGATGATCGGTAAGGCGTAACGATGCCGTAACGATGTTGAATTAACCAGAGCGCGATAACCTAGTGAAAGCCGTAAGCAGCCTGACTCGTGCTGGCTGATGAAGATTCCTCAGCCCGGTGCTGGATGATATCGGACGGGCACGTGTCCTGTGCTTGCGGGGTCGAGTCTAAGTTTCTTGGCCGACGACTTTCTGGCTGACGGTACGTGATGACGATATGAATTTTTGAGTTTTTACGAAGAAACAAAAAGAGTAGGCGTTCCTTTGTCAAACAGTCGTAAATATCGAGGAATGTGAACGGGACTTTAGTTCAGGATGGATTATACTGTGACGGCAATTTAGACGCTCTTTGAAAAGCGACATATGGCGAATCGATGTAATGTTCTTTAGATTTCTATATTAAACGTGCGTCGTGGTGCATTGTGGGTATTTAAATATATATATATATATATATATATATATGTGTGTGTGTGTGTGTGTGTGTCGCGTCAAGTCACAGCTATGGGCTTTTAGTGGCTGACTAAAAGTATGACACTTCCTGGTTAAGTTCTCAAGGGGAAATTAAGGAGGGCAGCCATTGGCTGAGTAAGAAGCTGTTGGTAGTTTTCATTTAATAAGTTGGCGAGCATGGCTGCGGCATTCCTTATTTCCAGTTCATGCACTTGTGACGTATTTCGCGTTCCGAGTGCTTTACATGGAGATAACGTGGATCCGGTTTTGGCTATTTTTTTATGGTTATCACTGTACAACTTTTGAAAATGAATGAGATGCGAAAAAATTGCAAATATATTTTTGGAAAATTTTTCGGAATATTTTTTGTTCACTTTTTTTTTACATTGGTCGTGCGAGATATGTGAAATTTTGTTGTCTATCAATAAGCGCTTATGGCATCTGTGGTATAGGAGATCGTCGCGAGTTATTAAAATCCCATTTTATTCTAACGAACCGGAGCTGCTTTATTAACCTAACCTAATACACGGCACAAAGCCGAGACGACTCTATTGCAAAATGACTGTCATGGTATTCACGGCAGTGCGCTCGATTTACTGCTTCTCGTTCCACATACACGCTTGCCAATTGCATGACGTGGATAAAATACTTGCACGATATCCGGTTGTTCCTGATTTTGAGACAATGCCTCAACAGCGCAGCCGGATGGTAACTCGGAATTTTTTTTTTTTTCAAAATTCGTCATATCTTTACAACGCAATTTACCATCTTTTTCCAATTTAAACGCACGTGATCTTGAGAGTCCGACAGAATCCCATGGACCATTTATACCAGAATAAATTATTTTCAACACTCCTATATATAACAGCAATATTATAAAATCCATATAAGATCGGTAAAAAAGATCCATCATCACATATGGTAAAGTGAAAATCCATACGTAAAGGCGAATCTCGAAATGGAATCGTTAAAAAAATTTTCCAAAAAAAAAATGGAAATTGCACGTCAGTCCACACATGACCTAGTCGCATGTCAGCCACGTGCGAATCATGACAGGTAGTAAAAACCTCCTATACGGTGCTAATGAAAAACATAAGCAAGGTGATAATGCGTTACATGACAACCGCTAATGGCTATACTTAGGAAAAATCAAATCCCGAATGAGTATTCGGATCCTCCTGATAATCAAGGAATTAACGTTATTCGGTATCCAACAATACGTAACCAATTAGCCTACGATAGCTTGTAATTAATAAGTCCGCTCCATCCACCATTCATTGAGAGCGCAACGCACGTAACCCAAAGTATCGGCCGGTAGATTGCCCGGCGTGCACCACTTTCGAACTTTTGACCTGAAAACGAAGGCTGTTGCGTAGCGAAATCGGACACCCGTGACCCACCGAGTTCTCGTCCAGAGACGTTCTCCCGGCCTTCCGTCATCGAAGTTCCGGCGCGAGTCGTGCCGGACGAGATACGATTGAACGATTGCCGAACGAGGAAAAGAAAAATAGTTGGAAAGTTCGATAAGCATGTATCTAATATTTCCGATTAATCAGGCACGCTCGTTGCTGCACCGAACGGCTAACAAAATGATAATTAAACAAATATCGCGGGTTACGAGGGTAGTTCGCGGGCGAATGTAAAGGAATTTAATGAAATATAAAAAAAAGCCGAAACCGATATATCAATAACGGTTACTTTACAAAAGTAGGGGAAGCAGTTGTGTACACAAGGTGAATTAATTAAACGTGCCGTCCGACGGGTTTCGGTTTGGTAGCTTCCTACGAATGGTTTAAGGCCGGTGGTCCTGGTGCCATAAAGACAAGGTCGCGATGCCGGTAAACGCGTCCAGGCCAAAATTTCCAGCGCACGTAGCTTCGTGTTTCGGCACCGAGCACAGAAGCCATTCGTTCCTGGCCGACGGCGAACGAACTTCGGTACCACAAGACGTAGGCCTGAAACTGGACGGTCCGCCTGTAAGCCAGAAATCTCTACTAGCTCGAGGCTATGCGTATAGACTCGTAGCACAAGAGAGGTTACAACAGTAAATTTCATTTTTATCCGAGTCTCGCGTTCCTTGCCCATTGTCTTACGAGGCGGCACAGGGGAGGGAGACGCGTTGCGAATAGAAACCATCGGACATGGGAACGAGCGAGTCCACGGTGGGTCGAATAGGGAACGCCGAAGTGACCCCTGATAAGTTATCAGTGTCGAAGGTGGGAGAATGACGAATCGGTGGGAGATGGTGGGTCTACAGAAATATAAATATATATATAGATGAATTTATTTATTTTTTTTTTTTTTCCATAAAATTAATAATGGGCCGTATGAAAGTTACGTGGAATTTACGTGAAAGTGGAAATACCGAATTCACCGAATCTAGGGATTACAGATCCTGGTTCCGTAGGTTAAATGGCAATAGCGTGTCGTATTTCATTTATCTGGAAACCCGCGATTATTCTCGTCTCGAACGAGAACGGTTGAAACGTCCAGGTTAGGTGGGTCCGGTCATCGTGTGTGAATTTCTTTACCGCATTGGAAGTCACATTGATATGCATGTTGCCGGTGGAAGATACGAGCACGAGAACGGGTCGAAGAAGACAATGGCACGTGACCCCGTTTCCCGTGGCTTCTGCTTGGAGGATCGATTGAAAATGCGTCTCACAAGCGACAAGTTTTGCGGGACTTTTTTTTTATTTTTTTTTTTATTTTTTTTTTCCATTCATATGTAAACGTGGTCTGCATCTGGATGAGTGTCTGGGTCATTTTTTTTTCTTCGACGTCTGAACGATTTCAAAATCAAGGTGTTCCCGTGCTCGAACGTTCAAGGTCCTGATTTTTGATTTTTCCATTAATTAAAAAAAAAAAATTTTTGTACCCTTTCCACACTCGCGATAATCGTCCTGGATCGCGTACAGATTCTCATCGAGGTACGAGCGCGAATGATGGATTTTTTTTTTATTCCTATAATTATTACGACCTCCTTCCAGGAATGACGAACAAGTTGAGATTATGCTACTTGAAATTCTTAAAGTATCGAACATAACGATTATCGAGATAGGACATAAATTAGCATACTTTCTGTAGTATAGTTCCTCTTTTTTTCCTATGCTTGCATACATATCTACTCGTATGCAAACTCAAGTATCCCTGAGACATACTTTGCACGGAGGCCGGGCAAGTGGTAATTTGAATAGGGTAGAAAAGCGGCCGGTGGGTCTCAAGCCGTGTAAAATGGCGTTGAACGGCGTCCCAGGACTCTCCGGCAGTGAGATCGACTCCTGGAGACAACGGTGGATATAGGCAGCAAGAGAAGAACTGCCTTTTAGGGCAGTTAAGCGCACGATGGTTCACCTCGCCTCTGGTACCGGTGGTTCGCCTCGCCAGTCCTGCGACCCCGATCATTCTCAGAACGCACCGGAGACATCGGGTTTTTAGCGCGATCTTGAAAACGGAAAATCTCTTTTCTTTTTTTCTTTTCTTTTTCCTATCCCACAGTCGGATCCCGAGCAGTCGGTAAAGTAGGGCCCTACATTGACAACGAATCCCAACAGAAGCGAAACAGTGAAATCGATCAAGGTCCAAAGTCCCGATCGCATCGACCCTGGAAAAAGTGATTCGCCCCAACCGAAAGATCAACCGCAAATCAAGCCTGAACGATTAAAAATTAATTTTACCCAAAAATCTAAAAAAGTCAAAACCACTTACAAACGCACGTAAAAATGTCAATATAGCAAGCCCGTGACCAGAGGGTCTCGACACGAGCACCCTCTGTACCAACCCCCCTTCGCTAATCAGCCGAATCGTCCCATTTTCTTTGTAAGGATACCCAGATATCCCCCCCCCCC